CTCAGAATTCAGAGCTTACCACTCTCCTTCCATATTGCCACCTTGATTCCTTTAAATTTGCTGTGATGACCTTTCCTACAACTGAACTGTCTACTCTCCAGCCAGGAGGGGTAAGTGGGGTGGGAGGCTCTCTAGAACAGCCTCCACTTCTACTCTGGGACTGACTATACTTGCTCTCTTCCTTTACCACGCTGAGGGCTGAAGACTGGTAGTTAATTTCCACCAGACAAGTGAGATGTTATTTATCCTACCAGGGTTCTAAGATTGTTTCTTCCCAAACATTTTAGGACTTCCAGGGACATGTGCTTGGTTACATAATGTAAAAACAGGTGTGTGAAGAGAAAGTTGTGCTAAGAAAGGTTGAAGGAAACAATTTGATAGTTAAAAGAAAAAAAAAAACAGCTGCCAAACTAAAAAATCTGGGGGTGGGAAGCTACGGAACTTCACAAGGATAGTATACTCCAAGTACTTCATTTACAATGGCACTGATGCACTGTAAAGAAAGTGCATGTCCGAGAGGGTACACTGTGGAGACACAAAGCAAAGAGCTCAAACCAGCAACCCATACTCAGGGAAAAGGCCTTGGCCACACACACACACACACACACACACACACACACACACACAATTAGATATAGGCCTGACCTTCTATTATGATACTGTGTTGAAAATGAACATAGATTGTTGTACATATATAATTTTTAAAATTCTGTGACTCAACTGTTTCCTCAAAACTAACCAACAGTCAAAATCTTAAGAACTTTCTGCCAGGGACAAAAAATAGGCTGTGTTTTTGTGTAAACAACTCTAATATTATTCATAAATAAAGATGCAATTATAATATTTACAGATACAATTATGTTTTACTTTCCAATATTAGTTTTATTTATGCATGTGGGTATTTTCTTTGTATACTATGTAAATGCCTAATGCCCTTGGAGGCCAGAAGAGGGCACTGAATACCCTGAATACCCTGGGACAACAGTTATGAATGCCTGTGAGCCACCATATGGTTGCTGGGAATAGAACTCAGAACCTCTGGAAAATCAGCCAGTGCTCTTAACCATTGAGTTTCTCTATAGCTTCAATATGTTGTACTTGCATTAACAGATTGGTTGATTCAACAGTATCACACAGCATAACTGTGTTCTTGCATTCATCTCTCCCTATTACTTAAAGGATTTTGTTTACTTGTGACATTTTTTTTTTCAGTCTCTAGCTCACTGGTTCTCAACCTCCCTAATGCTTAGACCCTTTAATACAGTTCCTCATATTTTGGTGACCCCCCAGCCATAAAATTATTTCATTGCTACTTCATAACAGTAATTTTACTATTCTTATGAATCATAATGTAAATGTCTGATATGCAGGATATCTGATATGCAACCCCAAAGGCATCTTGACCCACAGGTTGAGAACTGATGCTCTAGTAGAATCAGAGAAGACATGAACGTATATAACATTCATCAATGAAGGACAGATCTTTCATTATACACTGATAATGACAAAAAAATCCATGAGATCAATTACAACAATAGAGAAGTCATGACATAATTATGAAAATACAGATTAAAACATTAGCCTTCAGACTCTATGGCTTTCTTTTTCCTTTTTCTTGTTGAAGCAAACTGCAAATGCAGCCTAGAATTCAGTTGCAAGTGACTCCTTCCTTATAAGGGGTCTCATTTGCACACTGAAGCCACATCCTAAGCTGTACTCATTACCTCAATTCTATTGGCAGAACAGGATGCCACTATAAGCAGTAAAGGAAAAATCATCTTCTATGATGAGACAATTTCAATTCATTTTCCCTTTCAATCTTGGATCATATAGATCTTTTGCACATGATTATATCCTAGTGTGTGCAATTTTCTGTTCTAATCTCTTCATTTATTTTGCAACAAGTTGTTTTATAATTCCATTTATTCACTTACTTATTCAGCAAGCATTTATCAAGGTACATATTAGGATTCAGGAAGTATTCCAGGTACTACAAATACAAAGACAGATAAAAGCCAGGTCTCTGCCATTGAAAAACTCCCAGCTAAGAGGAATATAACCAATAATTATAAATGTAAAATATCATAATAAATCAATATTTAAAGGGCTCCACGTGAAGTATCTTAATGGCTTCATGTATTCTAGCTAGATAATACAACTTAATTCCTTTTCTTCATTATTTTTCATTATTACAAACACTGTAAAAATTAACACACTTTTCTGTGTACGTTTTTGTTAACCATTTTCTGCTGGTAAATTCTTAGGAATGAAACCAGTCATAGTTTTATTCATATTTTATAGATATCAACATATCTTCATGTAAGTATCATATAGCTATACAAATTCACCAGTTATAGTAGGCATTGCTAAATGAGCTGAAACCTACTAATTATTATCTTAATTTACACTTCTTTAATAAATAGCAAGGTAGAATATTTTTACATAGTTAAAATTTTTCTCCAGGGCAAGACATGGTAACACATGCCTGTAACCCAACACTCAAAAGACTAAGGAAACAACAACAACAACAAAATACTAGTTTCCTTTGTGGGATGTGCATTTATGGCAAATTCATGTATCATTTGGCATTGTTCTAACAGCTTCCTTAAATTTTTATGTTTGTTTTTTGAGATAGGGTCTCACTATATAGCTCTGGCTGGCCTGGAACTTGCTATATAGACTAGGCTGGCCTGGAGCTCAACAGATCCTGCTTCTACTGACTCTAAACTACTGGAAGTAAAAGCATATACCATCTTACACAGTACCTTAATATATTTTTCACATGTTACATTTATATATTTTATAACTCATTAGAGTTTTTTCCTATTTGTTGTTCTCTCTGTTTAATCACCTCACATCATACACCAATTTTTAACATTTCTATTAGTCACATCTAGTGTTTTTCCTGTAGAAATTCTTCCATAGGTCTGTTCTTAAGAAGTTTGCCCATCATTAAATTGATGTTCTGCTCAGCTGTCCATTCATTTAACTTTCAACAAATGTTTCCTATGTAAGTACTTGACATCAGATATTTTTAAAGATGGAGCACCAAGTATCCAAAACTTAGAAACACACAAAGGGGGTTAAAGCACATTCTCCCAGTGCCATGGTGGGAACCCCATTAATTGCTTCACTAAAGATACATAACTTTGTTTGACAAGTTAGATAAACAAAAACAATGCAGGTGATTCTTATCAGGCTTCAATAAATACAAAGTGACTAAAAAAGACACCGATGATCTGTCCTCTGGAAAAGATAACCCCAAAGGTCTCAGTTTAATTGCTAACCTAGTCACTATAGGGTTTGGAATCTAAGTCAGCCACCTTCATCAAGTTACTCATCCCTTCCATCTTTATCAAAGCTTTGTTCTTTCATCGTTCTCTTGGAGACAATCTTCCCATCTTAGAGACCTCTTACTGGTGAGTGGAGGCCAGTTTAGGTTTCAGTGAGTCTGGAAACCTGGCTTCTGCTAGCAGTTCTGCCACTTCTACCCACATGATAGTGCACTTCATGACCTCCTTGACTTCCACCCTGTTTTCTATAAACCATGAGCTTCTGAAAGGTCAACTGACACCCAGGAAATACAAGCAAATAGAAGACTTATTATATCTTTCTATATGAAGAGCCAACTGTTGAACCGGAATGATGTTCTAAGCCCAACGCACAAGATGCCCAAAGCCTGAGGGAGTAGAGCCCAAGCAGCCCACCCAGTGTCTCTAGGAACATCTTACTAGTAAGGCTCCTTTTGGATAGGCAGGATGAAACATTCAAGGGAAAATGGCACAGGGCACTGAGGGACCAGGTTTTGCCCCTTAGCCCTGCCTCTGCTGGAATATTTGTGGGTCTTTGCTCATCTGTACCATAAAGTGATTAGGATAATTAAGTGGGCTAATATGTGAAGAACCTCATCATAGAACTAGGAGTGTAGCTCATATGTGAGACCTAGGGTTCCAGAGCAGAATGACAACAATGAAAGCACTGTAGGGAGGAGGGAGTCCTATGTTGTTGACATAAACATGGCCCAATCAAAGACCCCAATGCTGAGGCTCACAGAAATGATGAAGTCTTCCTCTGGTCAGAGCACAAATGTAGACAACAGGTACAGAAAATGTCCACTGTAGCTTTCTTCCCCATCCCCCATGTTTATGACTTGATGACTGCTCCCCTACATACTATATCTCTGAGATTTTCTAAACCCATGTTCTTGCTCAGCTGTATAAAATAACATTTTCTCCTCTTTAACTGTGTGTAATGACACTGCCTCCTTGTTAAGCTGTATGTAATGACTCTGCTTCCTTGTTAAGCTGTATTATGTAATAACCAGCTTCCCTGATCAACTGTGTATAATAAATACACTGAGTTTTGGGTTTTCTTTTTTTCTTTGTTTGTTTTTTGGGGGATGGAGTGGGGTGGATGCACCTGCAGCTTCTACATTAAAGAGCCTAGTTCACTTAATCCAGGATTTTCTATGAGTCTCTGTGTTTGTCATTTCTTCATCCCTTGCCACCCCTAGTAAGGGTTCCAGAACCGTAGCCATGCAAGAGTACAGAAACAAAACAAAAACCCAATCATACTTGTCACATACTTGGTCTTCTAATAAATGCCACATGCCACTTTCATTTTCTTTAAATCCAGCATTCTCTGCAATGAAAACTGAATCCCTACTTTAAAGATGGATCTCTATTATTGTGACCATTCAGGTTAAAGTAGACAGGAATGTTGATGACACAGCATTGGAATTTCAAACGTACTCAATGTGTTATGTTACAAAGACAGTGGCTTCAGATGGCCCCACATCTGACCCCCATCTGGCCTAAAGGAGTTCCTCTGCTAAAATTAATTTCCCTTGGAGATTCAACTAGATGATCTCTAGAGTCTCTTCAAGATTCAACATCCATAGCCAAAGACTGTGCATCTGCAGCAAGGGCTCTTCATGGATGGGTACACAGGATGATCTGATAGCCACATGAGGTAACTGTGTCACTCAACCACTTGCTTACCTCTCCCACAACCTCTATGATGTCCCCGACTTTCAGCTCAAGCTCATCGTCATTCTGGGGCAGGTAGCTGAATGCCACCTGGCATCTGCGTCTCCGTCGCTCTCCTGGATGGGAAAAGCAAAAAGATTTAGATCTGGTTCTTCTCCCACATCCCACACTAAGGTTTTAGAGAAAGGCTTCCTAGGCATGCAGGCAATGTAAGCCGATTCATGTCAAATACTCTTCGTGAGGCGTGGCTAGAGGCACAGCAGCCCTGGTCTCTTAGAGAGGCATTAGAAAGCAGAGCGATGCTTCTTGGTGTTTTGAAAGCTGCTGGCTCAGAAACCCATGGACATGAGAAACTGATCCATTGGTGCAGAAGGCAAAAACCCCACCCCGGAGCACTGGAGCACAGTGTTGCCTTAGACATACTTCCATAGATGATGGCACTTTCTGTTTTTTGCTGATGATTTGTAATGAAAGCTGATATGATGTGCCAAAGAAACAAGAATGGTCTACTTCTGATGCTAGCAAGGCAAAGAGCATTTCCCCCAAGTGTGCTAAGTAAATGAGCAAGTGTCCTGGCCTTTTTCTTATTAATGTCACCCTTTCAACACACTGGACCTCAGGCCTGATAACCCAAAACCAATTTGATTTCTGCTATTCTTGGTACCATTTCAAAAGTCCCACAGGGTTCAACATAGCCATTTGTCTCCCAGGGGATGCATTATGAAGCTCCTTGGCTACTTCCACAGAACCCACCCAGGCAAGTCAAGGTTAAAAATCAGGGCCATATTTCATTTAGAGGAAACTCAGGGTTACGCCATGTCATTTACACAATGGATCACACTAGGGAGCCTCTGACTTGGAGCGGTACAAATATGATGCTACTGTCTATAGAACATCCATACTGCCTATATGCATTGTGGACATTTAAAAAAAACCATGCATGTGGGATGGCATGCAGCAGTGGTGTAGAAGCCAGGGAGAGGCATATGAGGGTTAAGTAATAGGATAGGCATTGCTCAGTCACAGCTGACCACCTTACACCATTCCTTCATGCCACTATGTGGTCTTAAAAAAAATCAACAGGATCAACAACTTCAAAGAAGTGCATTTAGAAAGACCAGCATTATTTCTAGGTACTGCCTCTGGAGACACTTTTTCTTTTCTAAGCTTTTCTCTGAAAAAGGAAGTCCCTGTAGGGGTGATTACAGAGCACATTAGCCCTACCCCCCAGCATGACATCACACAAAAGGGAAGGCGTTAGAACTACATCTATGGGCTCCCTGATCAATATTTTTCAAAAGCCAGTGGCCTAGTTATCGATTTCATTTTTCTCAGTGTATACCTCCCCAAGGAAGAACAGGGTGGAACACAAAGAAGAGGGCAGAAGTTCAGAATCAATATCTTGTCTAATCACACGTTCAGCTACTACACTAATGATCTCCATCTTTTGCGCAATGTCAGAGCGACCAAATCTTAATAAGAACAAACATAGAGCTCACAGGCACATCCTAGGCTAACAATGTGTCCTGTCAGGTGACTGAGTCACACAACCTTGTAAGGAGGGCCTGGCTCTGTGTGGGCCACAGGACCCATTGCATACTGCTTCCCCAAGAACAAGGCTAGAGGACTGGTATGTCAGTGCAATGGATGCTGTCATAAAGCTGGATATGATGGAACACAACTGTAATCCCAGAGCTCAGAGGACTAAGGCAGGAAGATGCTAAGTTTCAGGCCAATGTAGGCAATTCAGTAAGATTCTATTCAAAAAAAAAAAAGCTACCACCACTGCTCTATAGCTTCCAACAATACAGAAGAAAAATCAAGTTTTAGACATTGTAAAACATACACAGTTTCATTCTAGCAAAGAAAGTCTGAGAGCCAAGGCAATCATGGACTTCTTCTCCTGCCCCCTGCATACCTACATACCTTAGGAGGAAATCGTATGGATTTATAAATTTTCATTTTCTATTTTTTCTTACATTTTATTTCTTTGCAGGGGATGGAAGAACTATACATGCATCACAGTGTGCACATGGAAGTCAGAAAATAGCCTGTGGAGGTGAGTTCTCTCCTTCCACCATGTAGATAGATCCTGGGCACTGAACTTAAGTCATCAGCTTAGCGGCAGGTACATTACTAGCCCCTCCCCATTATCTAATTTTTATGATGAAATGAACTCTGAAAATGCAATTCTTAAGCATGAAATGAAATAACAAAAGTCTGAAAACTGATATAACCCCAGAAAGCACCAAGGTGACTTAACACCAAAAGCCCCAAAGGGTTCCAGCTGAAGCCATAAACTTTAGACAGGATTGTTAAGGAAGGGGGAGAGTAGATTTTATGTAAAATCAGTTAGTGAAGTGAAATACTACGGGCAGCAAGGCTTAAGCAGGGTGGGGCATAGGAGTACTGGGGAACTTAGGGGGTGAGGGGAAAGGCTAGCCCAAATGAAGAAGGGTTTACAGGTCATATGGAACCTTACTACTCATAACCTGACTTTAAAAAATGAGTGGAAAGATAGTGAAACTATGTGTAATGAGAGGAAAGGGGGGATACTGTGGAGTAAAGAGTTACCCAGGGATGAAAAGGGGGAACAGGAGAAAGGTGGGTAGTTAAATCAAAACTAAGAATCTATGGAAAAGCCTTATGTAAACTCACTAGCTAATGAACAAGTTTCAAAATGCATTTTTGTTGTAATTTTGTCCTGCATGGATAGATGATATCGCTCTCAGAAGACATAGATTATCAAATGAAAATCATAGTACAAGACATGGGATACCTCTTTATAGGTTATCAGTCAGGGAAGCCCCAGAGATCCCCAAAACAATACAGACTAGTGTCATTGCCCTTAATTATCCTTCATAACTACATGGTTCGAACCTTATTGCTGAAGGCACCCCATACTGGCTGCAGAACATAAAAAAGTCAATATCACCAATGAGAAAACTTTCAGTTGACTAGCTTTCATAGTGCTAGAAGGTGTTATGGAAGCATCAATGTTCCTACCCAGTGCTGGACTCTGCATTTTGTGATGCTGACCTACCAAGTGAGACTTGTCTGTCCACTGGCACAATAGTAGCATGGCTGTTATGAGGTAGCATAACAAAACCACTGCTTTGTGACTGTATTTACTGTATTTAAGGTCTGCTCCACAGGAGGAACTTCATACCCAGAATTATAGTCCTGGTCAAATATCCATGACTGGGGGAGGAGGATCATAGGCTCTGGAGTAAAACTTGTTATTGTTACTCTTATGCTCATGCTATTAAACATCTTTCTAAATAATTGTGTTTAAATTCATAGATCTCAGCTGCACTAAGCACTGGTCAGCTTAGGGTCTTTTTGCCATGGATAACAGTCACAGGATGTTTAACTGGTCAAAGTGCTGACAATATGAGACTGAGTGTTCAGCCCCTGGGATACCTACATTAATCCCACTCCCACAAAGGCTCAGAGAATATTATGGAAGAAGCACAGCGAATGTAAGAGCAAGAGGATGGGGAGGAGTGATGTGAAATGTGGTCTTTACATGGCATCATTACATGGCTACTGTGAGTACCTGAATAAGACCTACACAAGATCAAGCCATCCAGAATTCCACCATAGATGATCTTAAGGCACCTCCACTTAGAAGCTACTATTAATGAATAGTTGATAGGGGAGGGAGAATCATTCTCTTTTGTGGCTATGGCTATGGGTAGGTTTCCCATTATCCAGTGGAATGGCTCCACAAACATGCACATATGAGTAGCACTAACTGAACTTAGTGGATTATCAAAAATGCAAAGACATGAAATTGGGAGAGGTGTTGGTTGTGACATAAGAGAGTTAGGAGGAAATAGGAGGGTAGATATGATTAGATCTCATTAGATTCTCAAAACATTAAATTTATATGTAAATAAGTCCCAGTAATTAATAATACTTGCCACTCTTGCAGAAGACTTGGGTTCAGTTCACAGCACCCACATAGAGTGGCTCATGATCCCCTGTAAAGTAAAGTCTAGAAGACCCAAAATCTTCTGACTTCTCAAACACCTGCATGCACCCATGGTGCACATACATACACCTGGGCACACATGTATACATAAACCACATGAATAAAGATTTTTTAAAATGTAAAAGGTAGCACCTAACCCAACACTGTACAAATGGCAAAGGCTATGGTGATATATTTTTAGAGAAAAGACTATTCAACAGATTTAGAACCTGGAACAGAATCATCTGATTTCACCTCAACCAAATCTATGCATTCGAGACTTTAAAAGGTTTGCATGGTACCAAAACAATGATGAATTCACTAATTTATATCTGTAAGGACAGTCTAAATTTCTTAAATGGTTCTGAGGAAATTCCTTAACTGATGCCATAAAATCCATAATGCACACTGTCAACATACCAAGAAAAGCCCTAGAGGGCACAAAGAAAGGGTTCAGAGGCAGATGACACTAAAGGTCACTTGGCTTGAACCCATGCAGAAAGTCTTTTTTCCCTACATGAAGCTAGCTCATGCCCATCTCTTTGTTTTTGTTTCTTTGTTTGAACCAGGGTCTCACTAGGTAGTCTAGACTAGCCTCAAACCCATGACACTCCTGTCTTTGCCTCCCAAGTGCTGGGATTACAGGCAAGGGCCATCACACCTCCTGATATCCATATCTCTGTATCTCAACCACATGAGTTATAAATAAAAGAGCTGGGATGAGCAACTATTTTGAAAATGAGGACACCAAAGATAATTGATTTATGCAGGATCACTAAGCTAGTAAATGGCAGTAAACCCTTGGCCTGTGTTCAGAGGTCTCTCTCCAGTCAAAGATGAACTGAATCAATTCACTAGTCCCAAATTCTCTGCAATCTGTGTCAGCTGCTTTCTGTACACTTTGGCATCATCCTGACTCTTCACTCTGGCTTTCATTAGAAAGCTCCTAAACTGTAGGCCTCTTGTTTTTCTGGGCCTCAGCTCTGTATGTCAATGACCTGGATGTGAGTGATGGCTTCAAAACCTAGTTTGGGTGGAAGGAAGAACACAAACTTGGGAGAAATTTTATTTCAACTGCATTCTGTTTTCATAACATACAAAGTTTCAAGGTGTCACATCATTTTTTTCTTGTCCTACTAT